GCTCGCCCGCCCCGGCCCCGGCCGCTGCCGCGCGCGGGCGGGATGTGGCGCCTGGTGCCCCTGAAGCTGGGCCGCCTGTCCCGTGCACTGAAGCTGGCGGCTCTCGGCAGCCTGTTGGTGCTGATGCTGCTGCACTCGCCGTCGCTGCTCGCCTCCTGGCAGCGCAACGAGCTCGCCGACCGGCGCTTCCTGCAGCTCAATAAGTGCCCGGCGTGCTTTGGCACGAGCTGGTGCCGCCGCTTCCTCAACGGCCAGGTGGGCTTCGAGGCGTGGGGCCGCCTGCGCCTGCTGGACTTCCTCAACGTGAAGAACGTGTACTTCGCGCAGTACGGCGAGCCCCGCGAGGGCGGCCGCCGGCGCGTGGTGCTCAAGCGCCTGGGGTCGCAGCGCGAGCTGGCGCAGCTCGACCAGAGCATCTGCAAGCGGGCCACCGGCCGGCCGCGCTGCGACCTGCTCCAGGCCATGCCCCGCACCGAGTTCGCGCGCCTCAACGGGGACGTGCGGCTGCTCACGCCGGAGGCGGTGGAGGGCTGGTCGGACCTGGTGCACTGTCCTTCGCAGCGCCTGCTCGATCGCCTGGTGCGCCGCTACGCCGAGACCAAGGACTCGGGCAGCTTCCTGCTGCGCAACCTCAAGGACTCGGAGCGCATGCAGCTGCTGCTCACCCTGGCCTTCAACCCCGAGCCGCTGGTGCTACAGGTAGGCGCGGGCCTGGGGCCGTCACCGCTACCTGGGCGCGGGGGCTCTTCAACGCCAGAGGGAGTGCGTCCCCAACTCTCCCCGAATGCCTTCCCGCGAGTTTCCTTCCGCCCTCCTGTCGGTCCCCGTCTGGATGCCAGGTCCAGTGCTGTCGCGTGCCCTTGTACCCTTCCCAGCCTCTCCCGAGTGCTTGGACATTACGGTCACCCTTCCCTTGCTGTCCCCTCTGGCTAGCCTAACTTTCCTGAGTCTGCCTCTGTTTTATTCCTTAGCTCATCTCCCTGATAGTCACTCAGCTAGTTCTGGGACCAGGTGGGGACGATGAGTTCACAGGGTGGGATGGTGGTAAGTGAAGGGGGCTAATCCGTGGCTCGTGCTTTGCGTGGCATAAGAAGCCGAGAGATGGGAAAAAGTTAGTGTTGGATTTGGGCTGGGAAGGCTGAAGGCCAAAGTGGGCATTTGCATCCTGATCTGGTGATCTGCTCTAGTCATATGGTAATCCGGTTAAGGAAGGAATTAAAGTGTTTAGGTTAGAGCTAGGAGCGAGGAGAGAAGGTTCTCCTGGCCTCCTGCCCAACAGACGTGTTTGCTCTCCTCTGACTTTGTTTTGAAAATAAATGTGCCTTCCAGGATAGAATGGAATCCTTTTGCTGGTGGCTGCAAGAAGAGAAAAGATAAGAGAAAAATCCCGTTTATCTTTGGAGTAATTTGTGTTTCTCCACACCCCACCCCTGCCGGCTGAAGTGCTGTGCCCTTGGGCAGTGATTGCAGAGGAGGGGTGTGATCCCTCTTGACTGCAGGAAAAGTTACCAGTTCTGTACGTCAAGTACTAGAGAAAGTGATTTTAAATTAACCACAAGTAATTGATTGTGTAGTTCACACCCTTTCTCTGCTAAGAATGTCACTAATGGCTAGAGGGGTTTGGACCTTGTTTTTGTTGTTGATTGAACTATGAATAAGAATGTACTGTATTTATGGCTCTTTTTTTTTTTTTAAGTTTTCTACTTACATCTTAGTCGAGAGAAATCAGCCTTGATTAGTTCAGCCACGTAGTCTTAACACGAATATTTGTTAAGATGAAGTTCTAATGTGAGTCTTAGTAAAATTTTAAGGTGCCGTTAGGATATAATGTGATGGGTCACTTTTAACGTTTAGATTGTGTGATAAATACTGTTTTATCTCTGATCGATAGTGAACAGTGTGTAAACTCGGTTAAATTTACCTTGGAGAATTATTTTATTCATTGGTTTCCAGACTAGTGAGTCCCTAAAGGTTGAGTCCCTAAGTATAAGTATGATTATTCCTCCCCACGCCCCCTCACCCCCCAGCTATATTTGTATCAGTAAGGTTGGTCCCTGGACGAAGCTTAGCTCTGGGGTCCCCAAATTTAGCACTGAACTTAAGGTATTTACAGTTCCTGCATTTAAAATACTAAATGCCCATTGAACAATTTTTATCAGGTTGACTCTGAGTAGAGATACATTAGGAACAACTAATATTAAGATTAATATCTCAGAAACACTGTGTTTGCTTCTTTATAAACATAGGAGTCTGAACTTGAGAAACTTTGGTATGTAATCTCCACACAGCAAAGCTGCCTCTTACAGGAAGCTTTTGTGTCGTGGCAGTCTTGGCGTTTTCAGCTTGCTTTGCAGTTGAGATAGTCGAGCGTGCTTGTGTCTTGTGTCCTGACTAACTCTTCCCCACACTGCTCATTTTCATCTTTGTTGATGATGTGGCATTTTTCTCACTTTATTTGAAACATAATGACACAATTGCTCTGGGTGAATGATTAGGTTACCAAGAGTACAGGGTTAATGTAGTATGTGAGAAAATGTGTACTAGATTGTGGCATCTTTAATTTAGACAGCTCAGCTCCCAGGGATAGTACTAATACTCCATTATGTTATCTACTTGGAAAAGACACATTTTAGAGTTCTTAACAGTGTGATAGTGGCTTTTCTTTTCTTTTTTCTTCCCCTGAGTAGACAGAGTTTGACCTAAGATCCTGGATTAGCTGCTTCCCTTACGTAAAGAAACAGTTGATCTTGGGTAGAGAGCTTGAAAGTATGAATGGTGTGATTGAGAATTGTTGATGTCATAAATGATTAAGTTGGGAAATAGATCCACATTTGTACTCAAGAATGCTTCTTATATAGTAAATCAGATGATGATTTGCATTACTTTTTAGCTGTGCAGACAGTACATTTAGTACGTGCAGTTTCTATAAAGCCAGCTGTCTTGATAGTTAAGATATTGGTGCTGATAGGAAAGTCACTCACAACTACTGCTTTACTGATGTATACTTTTGCTTCATATAGTTTTTAAAAGTGTTTTGAAGGAGCTAGGGCTTTACAGCTTAAAGACAAATCACCTTTCAGTTTTTTTCCAGGAGAGGGAGCCACTTAACGAATTTTTGGAATGCTTGATGTCAAACTAGATTTTGCTTATTGTCCAGTTAGTTATTTCTATTGTCCAAAATTTTAGGGGGGGGGGCCTTTTGAGCTTATGTTATCAAACTGTTCTTCACAAAAGTAACAATAATAATGCTTATAAGTTAATTACTTAAAAATTACAGTACTAGTGAAAAAATGAGAATACAGATTCATTTAACTCGTTAGCTCTTCAGATTTTAAGAAACAGTGGGAAATGAAGTGCAGGGTGTCATCTGTAAGATACACACACCTCTGTTAACTGTGGATTGTGCTGCCCCTGTTCCACTGTTGCTGTTGCCTACTGGTCTCACCGGTTAGTCTGCCTTCTAGGAAAGCTGTTCTGAAACAGACTAGACAGTCCTCAGGATCTCAGTCATATCAGAAACTGTTCCCTTTACGTTTTCACCCATCAAGAGGTATATTCTCACGCCTAGCAGGCCCTCGTCCTGTGGAGGGGCAGGGAAGTATTGAGAGGCTGTTTTGTTGGGTTTTGTATGTGTAATAACCATCTTGGATCGCTAGAAATGGAAGAAAAACATTGAGAGGTGTTCTGCTGGTAACTTTTCTGTTGGTATTTGTGCTTGCTGTCTGTTCTTGATGGGGTGGGGGGAGGTCTGGGTGGGGAGTGTCTGGAGACGCTGAATCTCTGCCACTGTCTGTGACCCACCTAGGAGTCCTGGCAAGTGAAGAAAGCCCTTGGTTGTTTTAGGGGGAAGAGCCAAGAATTCGTTTAATTATATTATATTGGTAGAACTTTATTTGCTTACATTTTCTGAATCATGGTTTTAATAGGACTTAATTTTTATAGTATGCAATTATTATTGTTCAAGCTGTGGCTTTTAAGCTTTCCTTTTACTTGTAAAACGCAAAATATATACAGAGCATTTGTGTAGGGCTTGATGCATGGTGTAAACAGTGAATAAATGGACAGAAAGGTGACTGTAATCACCTAGTGCGTTTGGTCA